GTCTGTTGTAGAGTAGATACTTTGTCCGTGTTTGTTCGTCGCCCTTTTAAGTAATGTTTGTTTTGCCTCTGGACGTGTTTTCTTTTCTTTAACTATCGTTGATTAAAGACCACGTCCAGGTATGTTATTGACTACGTATTAGTACATAATATGGAACTATCGTTGATTAAAGACCACGTCCAGAGTGTCCGTTTCAACAGGTTATGGGCCCAGAGTAACTGACCGATCCAGCATCGCCCTCAGTTCGCACTCGAATCCGTTCACCTCACTGAACCACTCCGTGTCTTTACTCTCACATACGTTTACTTCCTTCACACCTCCCTGGTCTATCATTATATGTCCCAACACGGTGACGACGACCAACCACTTCCCCAGAACCTTCCCGATACTACCGGCGGCAACGTCGACGGAAGCAATTCGCACAGCACCCCGACCATCACGCGCATGGCAGAGGTCAAGATCCCAACACGCTTCAAGCTCCCAAAGGGCCTCGACCCGCTCGACGGTTCTTCTACATGGGACGCGTGGTGTTTCAAACTCACGAACGTCTTCGAGGCCGAAGACGTATGGGGCGTTGTCAACGGCTCCGAACTACTTCCGACGAACGATACCAAGCTTGCCAGCATCTGGAAGGCGAAGGACAAGGCTGCCAGAATCACTATCAACCTAGCCCTAGCTGATACGTGCATCCCTCTGGTCTCAAACGCCAAAACTTCATCGGAAGCTTGGAAGTCACTCTCGACCGCGTATAGCAAGAAGGGTTTACTCACCGCCTACTACTACCGGTCACAAGTCCTCAACTTCCGATTCAACGAAGCTCAGTCTTTCGAGACGCAAATTGACCAGCTACGTCAACTACGCACCAAGCAAGTCGCTGCGGGCATTCCATCAGAAGATTGGGACTTCGCTATCTGCCTCCTCACCGCTCTCCCCGACTCCTATTCAGTTGTTCGCCAGTCCATCCTGGTCAAAGAAACGGATCTGAATAAGCTCAAGGTCGACGGGATTATCAGCCTCATGACTCAGGAAGAGATCAATCGCAAGAGGATTCGACCTGACGTCGATGAAGAGGCAGCTTTCGCCCTACGCCACGGTCATCGACCTAACAATAAGGGGCAACCGAGGAAGGAAAAGAAGACGCAGCAGGAGAAGACGGGCACCTGTAACTGGTGCAAGCGAGAGGGACATTGGGAGAAAGAATGTCGCAAGAAGAAGGAGATGCAGACCCAAGCTCAGCAGGGTGCTGACAAGTCTAACCAGAAGCGCGCAGAGAAGAACAAGTCCGGCAAGGGCGATTCGACTCCCGCTATCGACGGCAAGTCTTGGGTTGCAAAGGTCTGCGACAAAGACGAAACTGTCGAAGAAGCAAAAGTTATTGGAGAAGCTACCCCTGCCAGCAACTGGTGGGAGTTCGATTCGGGCGCTACTCGAGTGTTCCACAGCAACCTCAACGCCTTCTCGGACTATACCGCTTTCCCAAAACCAGTAACCATCGGCCTCGCAACTGATGGCGCTAACACTCAGGCGTTCGGTTCGGGCACTCTAAACGTTCGCTTCTACCCTCCCAACTCTCCACCAGTCGACTTCCGTATCACCAAAGCCTACTACACCCCCGGTATCATGAGTCTCATTTCAATTAGTCACCTCGACGATCTCGGACGACGAATACAATTCTACGAGAAGAGGATCGATATTTGGAACGGCAAAGACTTGGAGTTATCCGTACCTCGAGTAGGAAACTCATACAAGTGTCGAGGAGAAGCTCTATTACCGGATAAGGCAGGCGCCGCAAGCGCCACAAAGACTACCCACGAGCTCTGGCACCGTCGCTATGGGCACATCGGACATTCCAGCATGCTCGACTTGGTTAGGAAGAAGTTAGTGGACGACCTCAACTTCGACGTTCAAGACAGTGGGAGCAAGACCAGTCAAACCTGCGACTCTTGCCTACGGGGTAAGCACGCCCGCACCCCCTTCCCCACTTCTGGACGAACGCGTGCAACGAAGCCCCTGGAGCTCGTTCACGCTGACATCTGCGGTCCTTTCCCTCCAACTCGAGAAGGTTACAAGTATTACTTACCCTTCCTCGACGACCACTCGGAGTACGTTGTTGTCTACCG